AATCGTCGAGATTCACAACGCCAGCAGGAGGCTTTGCTGTCACTTCCTGGCCAGCAGGCGAAGGATAAATCAATTCACTTGAAATGTTTTATGTACGGTGAGGTGAATTCATCTTACGTATGCGAAGAATGTTCTTGAAATCCAAACTAGAATACTGAAACCATCAGGTATAGATGAAGCGCATAAGGCAAAACAATCACATCATTCAATTCTGTGGGGAGCAAAACACTCAACACCTGAAGAGCGCAAGACCAATAACATCTACAAAACAGATTGCTCCAGTTGTGGTAAACGCTACGCTTCACAAAATGAGCGTCCTCGTCGACTCATATTCAAGGAAAATAATGTGGTTGTGAAAAATATATTTCTATTCATATCGATGAATGCAGACGATTATAAATACTAGTTTGATTGGAAAAATACAGAAAGTTTATGTAGTGGAAACAGAAAGTTCCAGGAGGTACCTAGAAGCCTGATATCCAGACCCATGTTACTACAGATCAAATTTATTATTATATTGATGATGCCTGTAAACTCGCATCCCTCATGTACAAAAGATGAGAATATACTATTATTATTAAATATGAGTATGTTATTTTGGTAGGATTCCTAAAAATATGTTCACTATGCATCGCTGAGATTGCAGATTCATTTCTAAGTCACACATTCGCAAAACTTCATTTAATGAGAACGTATTTAGGGTGAAGTTGATCTGCAAGAAAGCTTGATGAGAGAATGACGCTTCAACAGTATGGATGTGTCAGATATTGCCTTGAAATTTGCGTGTAATCCTCTAATACTGGAAAACACACGAGGTCTGTGTATGCATACGGCGTCAATATAAAGACCAGCTGTGGACTACAAATACTTTTATTTGCATGGGAATTTTACTTAGTATTAATAGGATCAGTGTACTGACCTTGCACAATTATATTTAAAATTAGCTTTTATAACTTCCTATTGCGCTAGTTCTCACATATATTTTATTTTTTCTAGTTATATGAAGGTTTTCGAATATGAAATCAGCGAAAATGTTGATCGGTCAAACTAAACCTAATATGCTTTATCGGAAATTTCATTAGTAAATTAATGAAATGTTTAATATACTCTTAATTTCAATTTCATCTGGATTCCTTCAGCGCGTCGCCGTACTATGAGCTTTTATGATACGTAAGTTCGGATTCATGCATGTTAAGATTAGTTAGTGGAATGGAGATTCACTGTAATATAATGGAACTGTTACTTTAGTCATTCATAGGGTTTCATGTCTGTTTCTATAAAATAACACATTGTAAAAACTAAGTAGGATTTAGCAACTTGAATAATAATTCTGTACTGTTCGATACTCTAAAGTCGCCTGATTTAGCCGGTTGCAAGTCTGTATACTGCTAAACGCCAAGTACGTAGCACAAGTGAGTGTAGTAACTTAGAGTTGATAGCTACCACGACCGTTGTATAATTGATGATAGTGATATAGAAATAGTCTGACGTTAAGAATCTTGGATTAATTCTTTCTTCTGACCAATCCTGGTCTTCCCATGTCTTAGCGATTTCTAGAAAATATTTCGTCTGACTGTTCATATCAAGAAGTTAAGGCACTCAGGCATAACTCAACCCCCTCCTCTTACAGTTTTTCAGCTCGTCCGACTTAACTATATACATCTGTTCTTCTCGCTTTAATCATGATTTTACCGTGTTTCACAGAACTCATCACACAGCGTACCAGCCCTAAATGTATACTACATGCAGTTATAATGCTTTTGAGCTAGGTATGCGAATCAAATTAAACGTTTGTACAGTGCATTCATTATTTATAAGGCTAACTAGTATGTAAGAGCTACGATTTGACCAGTTATACAATGTGTAGTATATCAGGACACAATTAACCTGCGCTGCTTACTTCTATTACGTATTACATAACGCTACGTAGTTACCTTAAATTAGTTTCCGCTAAAGGTAATCTCCTATAGCTACTACCTTAGGAAGTGAAAGCGGATATCCTGAGAACATTCTTGGTAAAAAGATCACCGTCTAGTCAGAAAAAGTAAATGTATCCTGATCTCCAGGAAAGCGTTTATAGGTATTTATCCTATCACCTCAAATGACTCACTAATTGCAGTCACTTAAAAAGTAAGAATAAATTTACCGAAGACAATGTGATTACGACTTCTGGATATCATAATATACCATGAGGGAAAACCTATATCTATAGGCTTACAACAGTTAGAAGCGCGATATTAATCCAAAACACAACGACTACGATTCTCAGTCACAGAACATTCTACTTTGTTACCTAATCGTCTAAGAAATAGAAGACCACTGATTCAAAAAACTTCATTTAAAGTTTTCTTAAAAAACATGGACATCCGTATTTATAGCCACGGAGAAATCACAAAGATCCAAAAAATAGGAATTTCATTATTTGAAATGAAACAAGCAATCTGTATTCAGCCAATATTTTCACCCGGAATAATAATCAACTTCTCAGCTTGTTGTAGACCACAATTCGAAACGTTATTCTTGCTAATTACCTTTAACTGGGATAACTCATACACTCACCAGATCACCATGTTATCCGCTTTTTAAGTCGTTTTGCAACACACTAAATGGCTGCTAACACTGGTTTTGCTGCAGGCGGTCCTTGTTCATGTATTTGGATCTAATATCCAATATATCCAATATCGTTTTTACGAGCTAGTATAAACCAATTTGATTTCTTTGTGCTCGCCTCTTGATTGTGAGGTAGAGGTTCCTGATCTTTGGTAAACGTCTGTGTAGCTCGTCCCGCCACTCGACTGTCGTAGCTTTGGTTGACTCCAACAGGAGTAGTGCTGGGATTAATCATATGGCGTTTGTAGTATGAAGTGTGTTAAGACTGTTACTACTGTGAATGGAGTTGATCCTTTCACCAGTTAGTCTTTCGGTATCGTCGTCAATGGAAAAGAGATAATAATAATAATAGATATAATTAGTAAAGGTATTCAGACCAACAGACAGAGAAAAAATAAGAAAACGTAACAACAGTCAGTCAGCCGGTATACATATATATATATACCAGTAATAATGATAATAATAATAATAATAATAAGTGTAGTTAAAGCTGTCAGGAGAGTAAGACTGAAGGGAATGTGAAGAAGTAAAACGACCAGTTTAATTGTCTACCTTTGAATGGTATATGCGATTTTAAGGGGATAGGCCATTTGGATACAGTCCTTGTGTCGCTGCAAGGTTGTCCAGCCTTCGCTTAAAGGCGTCCACAGATGGTGCCATAGCTACATCTGCCGGTAAGGAATTCCAGGGACGGCAAACCCGCAGGGAAAAGAAGTGGGAGCGCACCCGGGTCCTTGCCCTCTGATGAGCTATCCTTCTAGGATTTCCACGAGGGAGCCTATACCTACTCAATGGCAGAACACCTTTGTTTGGGTGATTCTGATCATTTGTTATTTTGTAGGCAGTGATTAAATCCCCCCTCAGGCGACGGTAACTGAGTGTGAATAGGCCTAATTTCTTCAGCCTTTCGTCATATGGTTTATTTCGGAGACCAACCACTCCTTTTGTTGCCCGTCGTTGGGCTCTTTCCAAGAGGTTGGCGTCTCTTTTAAGCAGTGGGGGTGCAATGATATTATGCACTTCAAGATGCGGTCTGACGTATGTTTTATACAACCTTAGAAAGAGCTCAGGAGTGAGTGCACCTAGTTGTCTATGTGTAAAGTGTATGACCGCATATGCCCTCGCTACATCCCCCGTGTAATTCACGCTTGTGTCCATTTTCTCCGTTAGAACTAGACCTAAGTCACGTTCCGACGTTGAGCAGGACAAGCTTTCATTGCACAGGGTGTAACTTGCATTCTGCAGTCTAGTACTTCGGGCATTAACAAACACTTACCCTTTAGGCCTTTCTGATTGCTTTTCAATTTCTTTCTCTTCGCGAAAATATTTACGAGCACAACAGATTCACACTTCTCGTGTGGCTCAAGCTTGTTTGATTTAGATTCTCTGGCAATATATCTAATTTTTCAACTGATGATTGACACACCGATGTTATACTCACCTTCTCGAAAAGCTTTAAAGCTTTTTCAACTTCAAACCACGTTCTAAATTCTCAAGGTCTAATATGCTCTTCGAAAACCCTGCTTATACCAACTCTGATCGTGCTGTCTTCACCAGATTCACTCGTAGATTGCTGCATGTTGTAGACATGAATGTGAAAGACATTACATTTTCCAGATTTCTACATATTAAGTAACCAATTGAACCAGAAACAATAACGGCAACCAATAAACGAACTGGAAATAACAGCTTCTGCCACCAAAACATGTTTATCGGCATAATTTACAAAGCTCCTACACAGTATCATTTCATTAATAGCTGAAAAACAACTAAAACACTGCAACCACGGAGTGATACAACCTATGAAACAATTACAATGAAATGAGTGGACTGACTTGGTAATAAAAACTTTCGAAACAAACGAAATGACTGGTTTTAGCAACAACGGAAACAAAAATGGGGTGAAACGTGACATTTGTCAGCAATGTACATCAAGATAAGTTGTGAAAATCTGCAGGATAAGCGTAAAAACCAATGCGTAAACGAACGGTTAGGGAACGTCAATCCAACATGGCTGATCAAAATGGACGAAAGTGACCTTTGGGTGTCTAACTCTTCCAATTTCAGTCTCCATTTAGCTTACACTATCCTATGAGAAGTATATTGGACATTGAAGCTAAGAAGTAGACACATATTTAGGTTGTGCGTTACCACATCTGTTAATCTGATAGCAGATATTCTGTCCAGTTACACAGCAGTATATATATGTGCATTTGATGTCTTTTGAGGCAAATCTTACCACGTTAGTTTTCCTCCTGATTATTATTCGCAGATCGTGTGTATCTGTGGGGAGTAATAGTCCTAATTATGTTAACAAAGATGAAAATGATTCTGTCTGTATGGATTACCTCCAGAACGTGTCGTTATATGTAAAAGACATAGTGTATAATATGTCATCAAACACTGCTCCCGTTTCATTTTGTGGCTGGTGTGGTGGTGCATTACAACAAATGAAGTCGATTGTAGAAAACCGTGAAATTCGTAATGCGGATGGGAAGTCTTGCTACGATCTTTTGACCAATACGGAAAAAGTGAGCACCTTTTGATTTCGAAATTCCATGTTATATATTTTATAATCAGTGTTATAAAGTGTTTATCACTGATAAAAACGGACTACTTTTAGCACAAAAACTTGCAATGTAAATCAAATTACTGATGTAAGATAGTCAGTTTTGATTATTCTAGAACTTCTGGAGTTTATAAATGTAAGTACTGACATCGGTCCAGGTTCTACTGCTTATTTTACCATCCTACTTGCTCAAGCTGTTCATGTGCTCGGATTGTAAACTTAAGTACACAACTTATTTCACTAACCATTTACTAATTTATCACTATAAAGTTTATAGTTTCATTTCGTAAGAGTTTTTTGGAGCTAAATTACCATTGCCTTAGTTAAAAACATACGATTTTGCAGAGTTTCCAGCAAAATTACTGACTTCGATCATCACATTTTGTCAGAAAAGAGAACGAAATCAAAGAGATATACTACAACGGTATAATAGGAAAGAGTTTTCATCCTGAACTTATGTCATTTACATATGAGGTTGGTGATTTTGTCCCACAATTTCTGAATTTCACGTATAAATTAACAGTGGACAGCAAAATACTAATTAATGTAGTTAATACAATAATGGCAGTTATGACTATAGTGTTCATTACTGGTCTTCAACACATGAATAAACACGCATTTCTCCTAGTCAAAGTGTTTAACAAACTCTTTAATTTTGTGTAGTTAACCATTTCAATAGATTTCAGATGCTATATGTATGATATATATATATATATTGTTTGTCACTGCAAAAAGCAGTGAGTACATTCTGTGTAACATAAATCCAATAAACAAATGTTACTGAAGGGTACATTATCAGTCTTCATACTATGGCAGTTAGTGTCTTAAACCTTAGCTTAAAAGAAACCTTCGTGGTAATTTTTAATCTATTTTTTTACCCTAATCAAAGATTGTTTAAAGTCAGCGTGACGAGTGAAATCTATTTTAAATTCTCACGCCTTCTTTAGGTGAAGTAAATATCATTTAAGTCCTAGCTGTATGTAGATCTTATATCCTATAAACTATTTTACAACTTCTGGACTCTTTGCCTGAGTTTGTTTTTATTGAGAACTCTCGATAAAATTCCTTATAATTTTTGTTTTCCCACGCGGCATATGACTACGTTAGTTTAGTAGTAGAGATTTCATTGTTCGGCTAAACGACTTGTTCTGTTTAGGTATGAAGATATTTTAAACCAAACAAAAATGAAGTTTTTCGTGGTGTAATATCCATATATAAGGTGTGAGTAATGAGTAAATTAAGAAGCTTCATTTATTACCCGTGTTGTCCATCTAATAAAATGAACCACTTAAAAACCAATATCACGTTGTAATGACTTTGTTTTATTTATCTTTTAACCTGTTTGTGAGTACTTAATAAACGAATGATATTTCTAACATAATATTTATGGATACCGCGTGTAATAATAGGTATTGAGATATTAGTGTAAAACAGACTTTATTAACCGACTCTTTTCTCCAACCACTTGGGTTTACTACAAACGCTAATTGAGCATTCCACTAACACTCTGCGTAGTCAAGCACAGCCCGGACAGGGGATTTCGAGTTTGCTCTGGATATCTCTACATAGGAACCTATATAAAGTCATGTTAATGACAAGATCTAACTTAGTTCAATGTAAAGCCACTGGAAATACCAATGAATTGCCAATTGTTGTCATTATTATCGTTTTCTCCTCAAGAATGTATTTTATAAGTATTCGTATTTCCAGTTAATCTTTAGGCGAATAATAACTAATTAGTGGCGGTGTTGCTTTCTGGTTAAAAATGTCTTAATCTTTTACAATGAAATTTCAAACAGCCATCTGTTATACGTTCAACAAACGATTGGCTGAGTAAGAAATATTGCAACTGAAAATATGGGGCTACATGCAGATTTAGCGGATATATTTATTAAAATTATCTAGTTTCGGTTTATCTCCAATAAAAAGTTGTCAGTTAGGGATGCTGTCACCAAGGTATGCAAAGAGGATACGAAAAATAAGCAAGGACAATAAAGTGTTTCGTAGATCCAATAATCAGCGTCTCTCATATCATTTTATCAAGTTTCACCACGCATTTTGTTGGTATACAACCAGGACAATTATCCTACATATCTCAGATGTAATTCGAACGACAGAATCAGGTGGTGGAGTTGTGGGTTCATCGGTCGTCTAGGGTTTCAACTGCCAGTCGGTGGGCCACGGTTACAAACCCCGCCCCACCTGCCAAGTTTTTGGGTAGCTAGGTAGTGACATTAACGCCCATAGGATAGGTATGGCTCATTATCAACTGCATGGAATTGCAAGTGGTTGCTGAATAACATTTCATTTCAATGATTCTAATTATAACTTGGTTTTAGGTGAAAAGTTAAGCACATTAAGCAAAAGAGAAAAGAGACTTCTATCAATCTAAGTATAAAACAGATGTTGCAACATATATTGAACTGCTCAAGTTCTTCGCTGTAATGTTACTCATGAAAATTCCCTTGGCGTATAGATGTTATCGTTTATTTTTTAATATGTCATGATGAATTTTAATTATTTGTGTTTTTAGGGCACAATCGATTCAATTGATTTTATTTTTGATAAATGGAACAGTTCTTTTTGTTCCCATTGCTTGGAAGCATCTGCTTTATATCATAATGTTAGTATATCAGACAGGTCAATCTACAACATCAGACGATCGAACAATTCTTTGGGCACATTTTATAATTTGGAGGCCTATAGTGACAAAGTCATTACTTTCTTTGATAAACTGGATGATACTTTGAATTGTTTCAATAAGTTTTTCAGTATTCCTAACATATCTCTTCTCAATGTATTAAACTTTCCTTCATCTAGAAGTTTGAATATAAGCCATATGGTTTGTAATAACTGTTCTACCGTGTACTACGCATTGTTAGATTTTTACAATAACCAACTTTTAAGATATAACACACTGGATGGAGAACATGGACAACTCAAGGTGCTAGCCCAAAATGGTTACCGTTTTGCTGTGTGTTTGGATGTACAAGATGCTATAAACCGTACTCAATGGGCGTGGTACAATTTGTTTCAATGCCGAACTGAGGAGATTAATCCGATTGGCTTTCTGTTACCATTATTAATATGTATCGTTTTCCTGATAACTTTCCATGCTCTTGCTCAGTCAGTATGTCGTCATCCAGTTCATCTAATGGTATATAGACCGAAACGTGTTGAGCCTACAATTAGAACACAGCGGAGACTTCTTAGTACGTCTTCAGTTACACAGGACCACACATCATTGATCAGATCATATGGTAGCATAGGATCTGTGGGGGAGACTAATTTAATGAACAAAAACACAGTCATGAGAAGTTTCTCATCGTCTTAACCACACCACAATCTAATTGATATCCATGCATACGGCAGTGGAGGATACACACTGTAAACACTGAGAAGTAATGAAAAACAACTTAGTACTAAACAAAACTGTTTTAATGTCTTTCACAAAGTGATTTCATATTTTATTTATTCTTTTCACTGTCAATCAAGCAATTGCCAATCAAGATTGTTATAGTATTTTCAATTTCACAGATTCTCTCTTCAATATGCTGAAGTATAAGATGACTGGAATTAAGGAAAATAATTTTTATATTTTTTAATTTTCGAAAATTCCAACAATCTTATAAATAACAAAAAGGATATTTTTGTTGTTTACTTTGTCGATCATTTTTATCATGTTCTCTTGGAATTGTTTCAATACTTCAGTCATCTGCAGTATTCAATTTCAATGTAAATCAAATCGAAATATTACCAAACCGAATAATTCGTTAAATCCTTCGTCCTCCGACATTTGTATATTTATGAATAAACTTTTTGTCTACTATAATACAAATTATTGATTAAATGCGTATGATTTTGAGATATCACCTGATTCTTAATTTTCACGTATTATACAGAAAACTTAACTATTTCAGACGGTTAAAATCAACTTTCTTGATAGCAGAAATCTAAATATAGAGATTTAGAAGACAAAACATAACAGAGTGAAGAATATTCTTTCTGATAACCTGTAGAACCTGGTAATGAACTTGCTTTGTAATGTATGAAAAAATGTAATGCTACCTGTACATTTGAATGTCGTAATACGGTCTAAATTTGCTAAAATCCGTTGGCGGATAATACTAGTACACTCATGTTTAAGATCAGTTGGTTCCACTTTTAGGTAGATATTTTCCAGGGGACAGAAACACAGATAGATCTAAGACGATATATATATATATATGGTTGGAAAATGAGAATACAATTTTAGACAGTATAAAACGTATTTAATACTTCTACTTGAATTGAATATTTGACAAATACATTGATTTACGTAAGGTAACAGCGTAAGAAACATCAATGTGTCTTCAATAAAAGTGGAAATCGAATAAGCTGTACAACTTGTATTCACCCCGTTGATTGATATTTGAGCATTATAATCTTATAAGCAGACCAGAACTGGTGTGAATCCTATGTAAAAGTGGAAGTAAGTATGATATAATATTAGTGTAAAATCAATTTTATCTGGCAGAAATAAAGTATTTTGATGTGTAGGTTAAAGAGAAGACGAAGTTTACTTTAAAAAATATGTTCAATGCACTTTCTATGTGATTTTCGCAGTTCGAAATAAACGTCTAACAAACATGCTCAAAATGTAACAGCTGTATATAACGATGAACTACAAATGTATCACGATAACTATAAGCATTCTAAGAGTTCTACCTGTACATTACTGGGCCAGAATTGCTTATCATTACCTGTTAAGTGTGATCTTTATAGTATTATTCTAGAAACACTACTGGAACAGAACATTTGTACTAGGTAAGTAAATATAGTGAAGTGGAATTATTATTTGTTGGTACTAAAAAATGTTAGTAGATTTGAGGATATAAGTTAGTGTATGTTGTGAAGTCATAAGATAAAATATAGGCGTTTTAACTTAGCATAAAGTGGCTTTCTACCATTCTAAATGTCATCCCAGATAGTAGATGACTCGGTGACTTGAGACGCTATGGCTTAAAGTTGAAATTAATATCAGGGATATTGTGCGTTCCTGTCCCCCATTTTGAACAAAATAGACCCAAATGTGTTTAGGTAACTGATCTTGCTTTCCTCATCAGTAATATCTTCCACATAACGTACTATAAATTAAAATTACCACGCTAACTCATTAAGGGTTAATATCATGTCTCCCTCGTTTTGTATAATTTGCAGCAAACCTACACCGACAAACACTGCATACTAGCATATAGATCTAAGGGTCTATCTAACCTAGTGTTTAGTATTGCATAGTGGCATTCGATTTGTTTAGTTAACACTATGCTCTTAAAATCAGCATTTCGTTTGACGGTTGTATTTCGAATGCATTGATGATTCAATACATAAAAGCACTGTCTGTCACCAACTTCTAATAACCATGTGCTAACTCCAAAAATAGTAGGATACGGTAAACTGGTTTTACAACACACTCAAATAACTTGTGAACACCACATGTAGTGTGGACCAACAAAAACCTGTGAGTGCCAAGGTCTTTTCACTCACAGTTTTGAAGCAAATACTGAGAAAACGCAGTGTTGAAATGATTGAAACAATTAGACTTTTTTATTTCTTCTGACACAATTTACAGGTGTCTACTTGTCTTTATTTAGTACGGAATACAGCTGAAGGTATACCACTTCTCCTCTCGTTCTTCCTTTCATCTGTAAGAATGAACTTTGGAACTTAATTATAATGCAGTTCTTAGTGGAAGGATTTTCATGAAAGTCAATATCATCCACTCCAACTGTTTTACATGTTCATATTCATAAGTAACGATTTAAACAATTAAATAAGATAAATGACATATATGTCATCAATTGGGAAGTTAAAAACTTACGAATTTAAAGTTCCAGCACCTAAATGAGCTAGTATGTGATACATATGACCCAGGTAAGAATCTTTGCCAAGATTTCGATTGAATATTTCCTGAATTTGAAGTATTTCAAAAAAAGAGGTAAATTATTACTACTACAATATTGTAACACTGAGTTAACATTCAAACAGAAATTATGAGCTGATTAAAACGCTGAGAACTCACAGCTACATCGTTGTTCAATAAGTATGTTAGCAAGTGTTCTGAGTAGGCAACTGTACACCGTTTGTTTTTAGTTAGTATGCACTGACGACTGTTTTCGGGATTATACAGCTAACTCGAAAAAATGTAACAAGTTGCTTATAAAATCATAAGGATTGCTAAACAGTTCTTTCATGAGCCGTAAGATCGGATGTTTTCGTTATTTTTGAAATGGGCTCTACCTGTGACTGCAGAGGTCATCATAACTTCACTTCACGTCACTCAGTTGAATACAACTGCAATAGGAAAATCTTAAGCAACAAGAAGAAGCAGAACGAGGGATGGCTTACACTGCGAACACCTGGAAGCCGATAGAGAGAAGGAAGGTGAGGCAGATGATCAAGGACAGAGATGAACTAAGTAAAGGGAGCTGATTATAATCAACAGTACACTGTACAAAAGTAGTTAGGAAGGGTACAGGGAGGCCAAAAAACGGTTTTACGGAAAACTGGCAATTGAAGCAAAAGGCTGCAGATAAGAGAGACGACATAACACTATATCAATACCCGCTTCCTATCCAGGAAGAGATCAATGCAGATGAAACCAATGAAAGATAGTGAAAGGAGCCTAATTATTAAACACTGGGTCGATCATTTCAAAAGACTGCTGAGTTGACCACCATTTGCGACTCATCCGGAAGTAGCATCAGCAGACACAGAGCCAGAAGGCCAATCAAAGCTTCCCAGTTATGCATTAATATTATGCACGTGAACTACAAGTCTTCCGCATCATTTCTGGACACGGAACCACCAACAGTGAACACCTACCCTTCTTGAAAACCATAAGTTTACTAAGTGCCGGAAAAGCAGTAGGGCTAGATGGGGTCCTTCCAAATATACGGGCCTACAGACCTCAACCAATATGCTTACGCTCCTACTGTAGAAGGCGTGAAAGGAAGCAAAGGTATCTGTTATTTGGAAGAAAGGCTATTTTGTCAAACCTTCAAAGAAGGGCAGTTTATACTCATGCAAGAACTGTTTCTGTCCACCCTAAATAAAGCACTCAACTGCATTGTCCTGGAAAGACTAGAAGATGCTCAAGATGAAAGACTGACCGGAACAGGCTTGATCTACAAAAACGAAATCATGCGCGAAACAAATAGCAACACAAGATATGATTACTGAACAGAGTATAGAATAGCAGTCAAATCTCTGTCTCAAATTCATCGATTCTGAAACCCCTTTTGGCAACGGTGACCGTGATGTAATCTGGAAACTGCTTCAACACTACGGAGTGCTTCAAACCTTTATCAACTTCATATAGCAGCTATATGATGCCGCATCGAGGTGATTCACAAAAGAAGGCTCAGTCAATACTTCTTAGTAAAGGCAGCAAGACAAGGCTACCTTCTATCGCTGGTGATACTGTCAGTTGTAGTGGACTGAATCATGCAATAGACCGTAGGGAGTCATAAGCTGAGTATACGTTAGACTGATCAAAGGAAATACTGCGAGATATGGACTTTGCCATTGACTTATGTCTAGCGTCTCATAAATTCGAAAGTCTACAGGTGAATCCCAACAAGTTCATAGAAAAGGCAGTGGAGAGAGGATTTTATGTGGGCATAGAGAAGATAGCCAGCCACAATCAATGGGAGATATCTAAGGGAAGTCGTGTCTTTCATTTACCTGAGTAGCATTGCTTCAACTACAGGCTGCACGGATAAGAATGTCAAATTTAACATTAAGGAAAGAAGACAGGCGTTCATTGGTATGGGATTGGTGTTGAAACTTTATGTTCCACTTACACTGCAAGCAATGAATGCTACTGTGGTGAGAGAGAGCTGTCTACTAGCCAAATTGGTAGACAGTAATTTACGTCAATGTTTACGTTCTCAAGATTTGTCGTGAGAAAATATGAACAAAGACTGATTCAAAACCGACCGCAGCAGACTTTGCGTAGGCGGATACAGTTAACATATAGATGATCTGACATTCAAGAAACAGTCACAAAGAGATGAAAGATTAACTTTAAGTGAGAAACAACCAATCAGAAGACTGTGTTGTTTGCTTAACTAAACTATAATAATGTACATGAAAAGATATAAATATGTGTTGATTTCCTTAAAAAACGATCTGTTGCCTGGCCCTTGTCTTCTGTTGTTACACTACTACTAATAATAATAGCAGCAAATTAAATACTGAGGATGATCTTGGGTTGAATTACACAACGTTCTCGCGGTAGTAACTGGTAACTTAGCAATTCTAACATGTTTGTAAATTAATGATGTAACAACTGAGTGTTAAATATCAGGAAAATACTTTGATGACTACATCTTCGTTTCGTAAAAGCAAAAGTAACCGTAAAACCAGACAACTGGGGTGATGGAAATCTTTCGTTCTTCCTTAATATTAGCAGTCACGAACTCGTATACTTGCTGCAAACTTGGAAGTAAGCAGGTAAGATGAACAAACCGATTTCACATAAGGATTTGAAAATATCGAGTACTGCGTAAGTAGTATTCATTGTTACTAGAAACTCGCATATTTTAATACGATAATTGACAATTTTGTCTAGCTTTTTATTTATTAATAAAAAAAGTTAAATAAAGTTTATCTTTATGACTACATTCTTAAAAACAATGTTTTCATAGCGTAATGCACGTTAATTACCCGTGTAGACTGAAGGAACAAAGTACACTAAATACAAACCTGATCATAGTTCTCATCTTTATGGTAGTAGATGAAAAGATTTAAATATATGTCAGATAATATTAACAGCTAGTGATTACAGGATAAACTTACGGATAATAATATTTCTTTGAATTTGGTCCTTTTGATCATTGTTAACAAACCTCGTTGACCGGCTTTGTATGCTCGAAGAAAACGACCAAGGTGAGGAGCAGAAATATACCAACTGCTTTCAGATTTAATCGTCAAAGCACCATAGTGAATCAGAGTGCTTATTTCACCATCAGAAAAATTTTCTAATGCAACAGGCTTACATATACTTAGATGATGATACTTCTTACTACAGAAATCAGAAAATTTCTCTAGATTCATTAAAATACAATCAAACTGATACAACCTAAAAGTTCCACATCACCGACAGGACAAGATAGTTCCGTGAAGGAACTAACAAAATCATCAGACTTCATTATGCCAACAGAGTCGTCTATTTCATCATGTATTTTAAGTAAACGTATCTTTTGAGAATCTTGCATTTCTAGCTAGATTTGTTACACATCCACAAATATATAAAATACAACATACCAGTTGCGACTCTATCTTGTTTTTATTTTTAACTAGTGCGTACAACTGGGATTTCAAGATAATAGGACGACCAAGATTTTTAAAGTTCATTGGAGGATACAGACCAAATAGGTATTCCAAAGCATCACCAACAGTTTCTAAACCAAATTATTCCATATCAGAAAAACTCCTTACGCATTTCAGGTATGCTGCATATCTTTATGAGTTTTGGGGGACTCTTGTCGTTGGCGTTTGCTGTTTTACGTTTCATTGGAATTAGCAACCAAAATCAGCTGTATTTGAGGAAATTATTTACCAAATAATTATAAATCTATTTGTTTTGGTTTATGGATTCACATGAAATGAAGTCTCATGAAACGTCAAATAAAATTCTTTCATCGGAATGAAAAGTTTGAAGGTGAAGTGTGTGAACTCAAAGAATGGCGTCATTCCCAAGCAAAATGGGCGTATCTACACCACTAACATGGCTTCTGAAATAATGCACCGATGGTTTCGTTTGTGAAACCTTACATGAATATGAGCTAATTACCATAGGGCGACACATAATGTAATGTGTGATTAAGTGAGTTTGAACCACTGCATCTTGATCGTAAAATAATTAGAAATTTAGACACCTACTGATATCCTCTTAGAATTATATCTAGTGTTGCACTGAGACAGAAACTTTGAGCATAAGACAAGCCTCTAACAAACTTCAGCTGAAACATCACAACGAATGATCTTTTGCTGTTTTTAACATACTCCAGTCTACCTGATACTGAGACGAGTGAAAACAAAAGTGAATTAACAAACGTTGTCTGTTTTTAGTGCTTAAATTATCTTTTTCTCTGCCTGTTTCTTTACATGTAGCTTTTCTGGAATTTCAATCGACCCTGTGTCAAAGTTAAAGTTTGGGGGATGGATAGCGGTACCAGTAAGTACTAATGGAGTGCGACCGCACCAATGACCTTGGGACGCTCAGTGAGCAAGTTCGTGAAACCTGGCAAATAATGTTGTAATAATGAGTAAAATATGCTGAATGAAATTATATTATTAAATGGGATATCTGGCAAGTTTCCGGTTAAATTAGGGGAAGACTGAGTTCAGGTTTAATCTAAGAACAGGTTAGGTTAACCTGAAGAGGGAGACATTAATTAGGATTTGTTCGAGTTAGATTAGGGTTAGTTTAGGGATATCTTCACGTTAGGATAAGGTAGGGGAAAGATAGAGGTTACTGTTCGGGTTAGAAGACCTAGATTATTACATGCATAGAATGTTGTTAAGCAACTTTGCTGATACTCCAATCAAAAATGTCACACGTCAGAGGAGGGTATCCTGTGTAATAGTTCCATGCCTTTTAGTCCATTAATTTCATGAATATATGTATTTTATACGCAAACGTCATCTATATCATTTAGTTGCTGAGTTCTAGGCCATTTTCCCTAAGCACTTTTCAGTGCTTAAGGTATAACTTTGCTAACCCTATTTACAGCTTGTTCACTGGTCAAGGTGGAGCGAATGTATATATGCGTCTTAAGTATACCTTCCGAAGCCTCATAATATACTATTTAATATATTATTAACTGGATACTCTGACTGACTGCTCAGGGTTATCCGCTTGGATAGTGATACCTTTTATTTTCTAGCCATTGTTTATGCGACATTCCCGAATAACAAGAAGGGAGAAATATATTTTCAAACAACGCGGAAGTTGATAAAGGTCACGAGATAGTGGTATCGGCTGCCTTAAACATACATCTTTACAGTGAGGTTGAATATAAACCGAGATTCCTTTGATGTCTTCTGTTGTTCTAGATATCCGCCTTATTTCGAAGTTATCTGTCCGCTGGACTACTGGATGTAGTAGTAGGGGTCCGAATATCCATTATCGTTTTTACGAGCTGACGCATGTTTTGTACAATCTTAGAAAGAGCTTAGAGGTGAGTGCACATAACTACCTGTGTGTAAAGTGCATGACCACATATACCCTCTCTACATCTCTCCCATAAGAACTAAACCTAAGTCACGCTCCGACGTTGTGCAGGACAACCTTTGGTTACACAGGGTGTAACTTGCATTGTGCAACCCACATGTGCGTAATTTCACCCCTTTGCACCTTTTCAGGTTGAAAGTCATGCCATTGGCCGCCACCCAGCCTTCCAGAAATTTTAGACCTGCCTGCAGCCTATCTGAGTCATCCGAATATTTTATTGCCCACCATATCCTTACGTAGTCAGCGTATAGAAGAGTGGGGCAGCTTGGACTTTATGTTAGGTCAATGACAAAAATCACAAACATCAGTAGCCCTAGGATAGAACTCTGCGACATTCCTAATGACGAGCCATGACAGGATGATAGGACCCGACTGATCTTGTTGCAGAATTTCCTTTCAGCTAGGTAGTCCTTTAAACATGACAAGAGCGGTTCACCTATACATGTCTGATTCATTTCGTGTGGGAGGAGGTCATAGCGAAACTGCCTTCTCAAAGTCTAGGAAGACCACATGGACAGGAACATTCATATCCCAGCATGATGTTCAATCGTCCTAAGTTGATAGTAGGTTTTTTACACAGGATCTGCCTTCCCTAAAACAGTGTTGGACTTCATGGAGTCCATTTGTCCTATCGGGGTGCTCCCTGATGTGATAATCAATGATAGTTTCCAGTAATTTTGATACTACTTGGAGTAGGGCCACTGGTCAATAACTAGCAACATTTCGCCTGCCCCCACTCTTGAAAATTGGAGATAAGATGGTTTTTCTTCACTGCCTTTGCAGATTCCCCGAATCAATCGAATGTTGGGACAAGGGCCTATAGAAAGCTTCAGCTCGCTGTTTCAGAACAGATGGCCTGATGTCGTCACAACCAGGGAGCTTTCGAGATGTGAGTCTCTGTAGCTCCCCAGTATTTTTCCGGATTTATTTAGAGAGTAGCCACTAGGTTTTCCTCTGGGGAGATAGTAGTATCGCCATTTTAGTCAGTAACAGTAATACCCACATTTCTGTTTAACTTTTTGGTGAAGGCTAAAGTGAATGCTTCAGCCATCTCCAGACTAGTTTTGGTGGTGATTATTTGGGACTACTGAGGCGCATACCTCCTGACTGGTTAGTTTTCTTTCCGACATGAATGGGAAATGACTTTTGAAGTTCGCTAGGAGTTTTTTGGCAAGGTCAGTCCGAAAGGACCTCCTGCCACTCCAGACTCTCACGCCGCACCTATTTGAAAGTTCTAGGTACTCGTCACGGTCGGTCTGGCTCTTCAATATTCTGCTTTGCTTGCAGAATACGTTGCGTACCACTCTTCATCCATGAGGACCTTTTTTTAGTCTTTGTTGTAACTAAAGGGGCGGTATTCGAGATTGCTGTGTGAATAATATCTTTCACCACCTCCCAGTGTTTATCCACTCATCCCATTCTAAAGGACATTCTGCGACGGACAAAAGCCTCCACATTCCAGCGTGGTCCGCCTTGTTAATAAACAGACATGGTCAGTAGCGTCCCACAGTAAGTACTCATGGAGAATAAGATCGAATTCTGTGACTGCACGGTCACTACTTCCTAGTGGACTCATGATCTGGACGTTTTCAACGAATAGTTGGTTACTAGCTAGAATATAATCTAGATTCGGTGACTTTCCAGTGGCGCCGCACCTAGTGTTGTCTCCGACATTCCCAGTCAGTCCTGTATTTCGAATGATTTGCATCAGGTTTCGACCGAGTTTTCCCTAAGCATACCCCTAGCCAAGGTTCAGTGATGTGGCCTTGAAATCTCCAACTATGGTGATTTGGGCATAGTCCAAGTCTCGTATCCCTGTGATAGTGCTGAGCAGTAGCTGGTTGTGCTCTGCCCCACAGATGGGTGATGGGTAGATGCCACCCAGTAAATGCTTAGTGTGGTTTATGGTGAAATGACACCATATAGAGTCTGGGAGTTCCGTAAATGGTGGGTCCATTGCACGTACACATTTAAGTTGCTTGTCAAATTGTATGGTAACTCCCCCCTTCCTTGTTATCCCTGTCTCTCCTGACCAGAACCATATCACCTGCACTGATTTCGTTTTTGGTGATAGTGGGGGTTAGCCAGGTCTCAGTAAGGATGATCATTCCAAGGTGTGGGTGTTTAAATGGAGGTTTCTGAGTTCACTTGCTTTCTCTCTCAGCCCTCTCATACTGCTATACAGGCAGCTGACAGTGCGTCTCACAACCTCAGTGTGTTGCAGGGTAGTTGACTTGAAGCTATCTGCTGGTAGGGGACTTAATATTGAGACTAGCTAGCCGATTCCGACAGAACTGACCCGTTGTCGTCTCTTCCTAGGATTCGGGTAGGACACTTGTGTGTCAGTGACTGTCATTCTCAGTATCGCATCGCTGTAGTGTCACTGAGGCTTGGGGACATACAAGGACCTCAGTTTGCTGCCTCATTATGGTTGGAGGTCTGCTTTCGCAACGTCGAAATTGCCCTTAGAATTTACCCTTGGTCTCGTACCATCGTCGAAGTACTGGAGCCAACTGTTGCTCAGAGTTGAATTTTACGTTTAGCAGCCTCGGGGAGCTAATCAGTGTGAGATGAGGTAGCTGTGAAGTCGAGATTGCTCCAGAAGCACCAGAGGGTCATCTGAGATGACAGTCATCTCCATCTATCCCCAGCTTCAAACTGCCGCCCACGACAAGGGAGGTTGAGGGTGCTATTATAGGGTTTATTCCACACCCACAGTGAGTACTTCTTGTACGGCAATAGGTATTACTGGCCAAGGATTCGGATACTTGTCTTGATAGAACAGTAGGTTACTTCAGTAGTTCCACTGGCCGCCTTGACGTTTAACATTTACATTGGTAATGCTATATTTTAATAACATCCTCTGTAATGAGACAATTAGGTGCAATATTTTATTACTTGCTGAGAATTCCATATTCATATCAAGAGAACTGCTTGGAATAGAGCTATTATTTTTCTTACGATACTTCTAAGAGCAGTTTTTTAGCAGAGGGCGTATATTTGTAAACAGGCGCTAGGCACCCGGAGGTAAATCATCTTCATTAAGGAGAGCTCTGAATTTTAGTAGGCTGCTGCTGAACATCAACACGTTGGAGAGGTAAAATAATACGACAGACTACCCTAAAGGTCACGTTCGGTTCTCGGTTGGCCCTTCTATGATTTGCAACTTTAGTCTACGTCAGAGTTCTACTTATATGGGGTACACTGTATGTTGTAGATTGGTTATCGAGTGCGAATGGAGTTCCTGCAATGCTGGCGTCAACCGTTACCCACACGACGGTGTTTGTCCGGACAGTTTGGGCAGAACCGCCAAAGAAAGTAGCTTTGTACGTCCTGCATTTCACCGAATTTATACTCCCAATGCAGTCAAATACAGGATTGAATAACGGAATAAAACTTCTAAACTATACGGAAGATATGTGGTTAAGGAAAATAAACGGGTTATTCATTCGTGATCTTAGCTTACCAATAACCCCGAATTCATCGGTCGTATTTGGATCATGTTACAAATCCTGTGTTATTATGAATGACGAATATGGTATGGCAATTACGATACACATTTCATCCGGCAAGCATTTTAGGGTTTCAGAAATTGTGGCGTGATTAGATAAGTCGGTTGTGTTCGTGTGGAACCATTTCTCAGCCCTTCACCAACAATACTCACTATCTGATTTTCGCTTTTTAAAGTGACTGAAGGTCCCTAGGTAACTGGCAATCTCACTAGCTTCCATCATTTTAGCGCAACATATTCAGGGATTTCTAGGCAGTTAAAATGTATATCAAGCACGGTTATTAAAGCATTACGTCCAATAGTTCACCTTTAAAAATTGAAACCGTAAACTTAGCAAGCGTCAAGCAAGGATTGCTAATTTGGGTATACGGAGTACATGTGATTCTTTAGCGAACTTCTTTTTGTTTGGATTTCAGTGTGTGGGCGTGTTGTGTTATCATTTACTTGGATGAATGAATATTATTGTAAATATTATTCCACTGACTGTTTGGAAAGGAAACTAATGATCTTTTGGCGGAGAGCCTGATGCCCCATACCTCTTTGCCGACGACTTAAAGATTGTATAGAGCTTCCCCTATTCTAATCTAAACGAGGGATTCACACATATTCAAGATGATCTGGATAGGTTACATAACTGGGGCAATGACTGGCAACTGCCATTCAATTCTGATAAATGTGGTGTCCTATACTTCAACAACTCCCATCCAAATTTCAGGTTGCACCTGGGTGACCATTCTCTTCAAACCCTCAATTCCATAAAAGACCTGGGAGTTACCTACTCACAAAACTTAACATCCAGTCAGTACGCATAATCAGTTGTTTCTAAATGCCGATGACTCACAGGCTTGTTACACCGAAAAATGTACACAACTGAGGCTAGAGTCCTTTTATACAAAGTCATGGTTCGTCCATTACTTGAATACTGCACAACTGTCTTCGGTTTCATGCATGGTATGATAGGGCTCGCATTGAAAATATTCGGCGAAGTTTTACATGACGCCTATTACACAATCATGAAGGACTGACAAACGCGGATAGGTGAAAAATATATGGACTTCAGCTACTTTGGTTAAGGCGCCTGAGACTCAACCTTACATTCCCCTTTCACCTTTTACATGGCTACATCAAAAGCAGTAATCCAATAGCTTTCAAAAATTTAACCACATATACTCTTAGGAATCATGAAAATACTTTATCCATAACCCGATACCGGACAAAACTGCGATCACGTTTCCTCAAAACACAGTACAGTGCATTATGGAACGAACTTCCTCTAACTGTACTTAGTTGCCGATCTCCTACTAAACTCCAACGTCTCCTTAACGAGTTCCTGTCAACAAAAGAGCTTCGGTCTACTTATCCATACTTTACCCATATAGGCTGTTCAACTAACTTTAGTACTACAGACCCCAGTGCAATACCCCCAATTTGAGGAAACTCATTTGCCCCAGCCACTGTACCGCATCTAAAACTTGATAAAATCAGCCCAATTTTTCCCACATGGCTTTACCTAAGGTTTGGTTATTCAGCTTATTAGAGATCCTATTAATAATTCATCAGTAGGGATTATAAACTCACAAGACTATCTATAATTATCTTGGACGTATAATCCCAAATTAGCTGTGATAGTTTTTTTTCATAATATAAGCAAACTGGTACTTTGTAATGTCTGACGCATGCTATATGAAAAGTGGTAATGAAAACCTAGCAATAATAAGCTCAGCCAACAAACCAATTTCTTCAGGTTCATTCAAACAACCCTTATCCCTAATCGTACCGCTATTCATTACACTTTTGGAGGCTGACGGTATCGACGTTCGCGAATTGTACGGAGTATACTAACGCAAGATCTTATACCAACAACTCCTAAAGTATTCGTTTCTCGTGTACCGAAGATAAAGCAAAAGAACAGATTTAGTCGTCCAAAGTACGTGATATATTTCGGGACCAAATAGTAAACCGTTTTGAGTGCTTATCTAGCTAGTGATCGTGCACGCACGTGATACGACGAAGTACCAACTGGCAAGGGTGCTTGACCGAAAGCCTTCAGCTAAACAAGTCGGCTCAAACAGTGAGGGTCAGCATCCAATGTTGAGTGATGATTGCTGTGGTCAATAATTTCGGGGAATTATTTACCGCTGCACACTCTACTCAGTAGATTATGACTTAATTTATTCCAGTACTCAAAACTCTTATGCCTTTTATTTTTTTAAGACGTTTAAACTGCTAACTGCGAAGTAACCGTTTAACCATGTCACTGATTTTCTCTTCACTGTAATCTTGGATAAGTTCGTAAGTATAATTATTTCCGAAAACAATTACATTAGCAACCATATCTTTTAATATTTTGCATAAATACTTATATTATTAGTATAATACACTGTACTATGTAGTATTTTTTTCCATCATATAGTTGATGAGTCACTTTGCAGTGTTTAACGCACACCATATAAAATCGGTTATGAAAATTAAGCATTACAAGTTTTGCTAACCAGTTGTTTTTCTCAGGACCACTTTACATAACTTTATCACTAATTGTTCCACCACTCATATTACTCTGCTAAATAGAATATAACTTAGTTTCTCAAATACTAGTTATTTTTATACTTCATAACTCTTAAGGGAAACTTAATTTCCTAGTCTTTTGTAGTAATCCACTTGTTCATACATATGATGATAATACTGCTAAGAATGTCCTCTGGTATTATTGTGCCCTTTAACCTAATTGGAAGCGCTTGTCATGGAAGCTGTTAATTTGCAGCATACTGTGTGATTGGAACGGGGTCAAAGCAATGCAATATTACAACTGCAGTCATTGTGAAAGGTCTCAGAGCTTAATGTCAAAAAAGGAGGGAGGGTGGCGCATGCTGATCAGTAGATTTGGTAGTGATCACAAATGTGAATCACTCCTATCTGTAGGACAATAACATGCATTTTTTGACAGCTCGAGAATTAAACATGAGTTTAGATCCTCAATATAAAAAAAGAAATTAACTTCAAAAGAAAACTGTAAAAAATATTGACTGCACAGATCTAAATTATAAAAAATACTGCTTTTGCTCCTAACATATACAAGCCTGCTCAGTTTCTTGTTAAGATGCTACCCCATGGACCATACACGAGTTCACCAGACATCCTACAGGTCACCATATCCAAGAGGTTCTAATCCTTCAAGCCACTTCTCTCTGAAATGTTACTTATATACTCCATGACAATCCTTCTATCTAAGCATTGTTATACTCCACTATCTCAGCTCCCTAGGCCTTTAATAAAGCTGAAATTTACTCTTTTCATTCACACTCTTCTCTCGCGTAAAGTTCGCTTGCTCTGATAATGAAATAAGCATAACAACAGCACCCGTGTTTGAGAATACCTATATTTTCATAGAAAACTTCATAGTTTTCCTTGGTAGGACCAAGATGGTTAGCATCACACATTGCAAATGTGTATTATCATTTCAAGTACTATATAGCTTTTTCTTCTTGTATTTATCTTGTAAATATACTTCCAATGATGAATTATTCACAATTTCATTTTATACCATTTTGCAGCTAAAATAGCGTTCAAGTACGTGGGGGCATAGCACTCGCTCACATAAATGTTGTTTATCGATTGGCCATAACTATCATCAGGAAATGGAACGAATTTTGGGTTGTCTCCCAACTTCGATGGTGACCTTCGTGAAAGATTTATAAATGAACACTTATAAGAATCTGTTCCGATTGCTTGTACCATAATACAAAAATTTGAACTTTTGAAAGTGATCATATATGCTAATTCACAATTGTAATTTGTAACATAATTGATCGTGCCTGTAAAAATGGCATGCATTTCATGTAAACTTATACGTTTATACGAAATATATATTATTATTAGGATTGAGTTTCTTTATCCTAGATCATCGGACAATGGCACCTTTCATATAAATATATAAAACACTGAAGCTGTACTTTTTATACCATTTTGCATTTTATGTTAACCAGACCGTTTGTGCTTCATTTGACTCTTGCATATTCCTTGTTTGATTTGACATTTTATTAACTGCAAAATAAATTTGTATTTAACTATTGTTCTCTCTGTGTTTGAACACCAGATAACCTTGTGGCGGCCTAAAAACATATCAAATTATATGTTCACCTAAAAATAAGGAATCCAATGAAAATCGTGGTTGTTAGGTGAGATTAAAAGGAACTCAACCTTGGACCGCGCGCAAGGAACGAATTGGTTGCCCTCTCTCCGGCGGCTTCCTCAGCACATCTGCCTACCAACTCTGTCTCGCACTGATTGACACATCCACATCACGAGCTTTGCTACTATATGCTTTTCTCTACTCGGAGACCTCCGACGGTTGACAGCTCTAAGGTGTAGTGGAGGATTTGTATAATCAAGAAAAGGACAATAACATTCCTATAATTTCGTACGTCTATAATTTGTGTATTTTGTGACTATTATAGTTTTTCTTCAAATAACCTCAGTCCTGTTTGTGTGTATTAACTTAAATGAACTCAATATCTTATATATACGTATTTGTTAGTACCTGTTCTGTCCTTTTAATTGTGTGTATAGACATACTTAGCTGCTAGGTCCACTACAACCTCATATTTGGAGGCTTGTACCATGTTTATCTGACATATTTCGTTTCATAGAACAATGATCTTGCAGTTCTTCCACGCCCTGTTATAAACATAATTCTATTTGAAACTCTTTAGCTTCCCTCGAATTTGGTCAAGTTTATTTGGAACGATTTGGTTTTATCTCTGTTTGGGCGTGGACTGCAAGTCCGTATCCTCAGGATTTGTTCGTGCTCCCGCTATTACTGAGATAATATATGGATTCATATTTGAACAAATTAATTTCCTTTTACAACTTTACTTCATCCTCAGTAGTTGCTTGATATTTTTAAGGTTCATTTTTTAGGGGGGCTAATTTCCCATCGACACAATAGGTCTCCGCGTCTTACAATATTTTAAGTACTTCAATTGTGATTTGTGCTTGTTTAATTTAGGTCCTATCACAACATTCAAGGTGTCTGTACTCTGGCAATAGAAGCATTCATGTTATATTTACCTTCTTCGAATAAACTTCAAAGCCATCTCAACTTCAACACAAGTTTTAAATTCTCTAGGTCTAATATGTCCTTCGAAAACCATACTAATATCAACTGTGAAAGTGCTTTCTTTCTTCTGACTGACTCGCAGATTGTTGTATACTATAAGCATCAACGTGAGAGAGATGCATTTCCAGATTTCTACATATTAAGTAAAGAATCGAACTAGCAACAGTAGCGGTAAGCACCAAATGAACTGGAACTACAGAATCTGGATCCAACCATGTTTATATACATAATTTCCAAAATTACTACTCCATTAACAGCTCAAAAATGATTAAATTACTGTAACCATGCATGTCTGCAAGTGAACGCTTAGCAAACAGCAGTCCAACGTGGCCAGTTGACATGGACGAAAATGCCTTCGAGTGCCTTATCAATCCTATGGCCTTGAGCGTGCCGGATGAGTTTGTTGTGCTGCTATGTGCACATATATCTCAGTACTTCTCGTTTATAATTGTGTCCTAACGTTGTGCTTACTCGACACACACAACGTAAATCAGAAGACACTTCAGAAGGTGTAGGAATGTGTATTCTCGCCGTAATCAAAATTCAAAACTTGAGCGAGTACAAATGTATCAATTGTTAACATGCAAGATTAAGAGTAATAAACAAATCGAAGTACAATTACACAATGAAAGTATAGTACGATGATGAGTAATAAAATGGGTCACTACAAGTTCAGCTCTCATCATCAGTTCGTGAATTCTATGCTTGTTCCAACTGTTTCAGCCTGCACTAACTTGTCGTTCGATCGTGGCTGGAAAAATGACACGTAATTTACGCAAATAAATTTGTTTATAAGAAAACAGGTACTATTATTGCTAACAGATCAACAAATTCAGGAGAATGGTGGGCAGTTGTGAACATTTCTGCAAAGCCTTCAAGGCCATTCGATAGTTTTTTTCATTTGGATTGCTATACTTCAGCCCTGTCTAAAGATGTTAACGAATAACAGAAATTCCGACATTTTTCATATTAGGGGTTGAAATTTACGTAAAAGAAGCGCGCATAACATTGTAATAAAATAAAAACCACCATAACGCCACTAAATAAGTTTCTTTTCTTCCTTTTTCAGAAAGAAACGCTGACGTGGCTTCACTGGAACAGGAGGAAGATCGTTTGGCCAGACTTGTTATAAAGGACGATAATTAGCTTGTACCCGCTGAATTCAATCCTGCCGTGGTTGAAATAAAGATCTTCCTCTCGTCTCTTCGTCTTCTTCCTTTTCCGTTGGTTGTGGTTGTTGCTTGCGTGTAACAATTGGTGTCGGAGGTGTTTTATCTACACTAACATGGCAAATCGACCAGAGGATCAGCCTCCCAAATTGTTTCCTCAGGATAGTGCTCCATCATTGCCTAGTGTACCACCGCTCTCCTGCCCACCATTGCTGCAACCATCATCAGATTACCCTCGCTGGAAGAGACGAATGCAGGCGTTCCTGGACGTTTGCCCAGCAGCCCACCATTTCGTCCACGTCTGCAACAACCTATCAGACGATACATTCGCCCGTGCAGACGCTGCTGGGTTCAGTAAAACCAACTCCATGCAAAAGAACTGGGAGATCCTAGATCAATGTTTTGACCTGAGGCTGGGTTCTCAACATACCCTATTACAACTGCTCTCCCGCCGACAACTACCAGGAGAGAGTTTCCTGGAATATCTTAACGCTCTCCAGCTACTGGCAGCTGGACTTGACAATCACGATAGCCCTGGCGGCACAGATCAATTGGTATGCACCCGTTTCGTCGAGGGAATGTTGCCTGGTGACCTGCGCACAAACCTCCGACGTCAGCTCCCAGCCAACACGTCCCACTTACAGAAGATTATTCTCCGTTTCACGGACGCCGAGAATGACCACGTGCCGACACCCAGTACCTCTATGTGCCCAGTATCAACAAAACCCAATGCACCCCCCGTTCGCCGCAACCGTTCACGAAGCCAACAACGCTCAAATGGGGACGCTACCCGTCGCTGCTACTACTGTCAACGCTTCGGGAAGAAGGCCCGTAAGTGTGGCCACAATCGCCAGCCGGACCGCAGTAAGTCCCCTGTTTTTAATTTGTCTACATACTCTTGTAACGGGCAACCTTTGATGCTATGGGGACATATTAATGGAGTGCCCTCTAAAGTCCTTTTAGATACTGGCGCGTCAGTCTCTCTAGTAAAGGCTTCCTTCCTTCGACGCTTGCCCCAGTACTCAGCCCCAGTAACCACTCACACCATCTTGACGACAGCTAACGGTGCCAAACTGGAGGCCCGATCGGCTACCGATCTACAGCTGCGTCTTGGAGACCTAGATGTGCGCCATCAGTTTCTTATCTGCGCCCAGATTACATGGGACCTCATCCTAGGAGTAGACTTCTTGAGGTCACACCACACTCTTATAGATATCACCAATTCTCGAGTCACAATTGATTATGTCACTATACCCGTATATAGCCCTCAGCAACCGCGGTCTGCTGCGTCAAAGTTGTCAGTGTCTACGATCATAAATCAAGTTTCAGTTGACCCATCTGCTCCTGTCCCCCTCCGAGGGCAAATGCTGAAATTGATTGATGAATACGCTGATGTGTTCGATGATGGGGGTAATCCAGGACGCACTGGTGTTGTTCAGCACCGTATCAATACAGGCAGTCATCCGCCTGTGCGTCAACCACCCCGACGCATCCCCGTACATTACCAGCCCCAACTGGACGCCCTGATACGAGATATGTTGGATAAAAAGATCATCGTACCATCATCCTCCCCATGGGCGTCACCCATCGTTTTAGTCAAGAAGAAGGACGGCTCCCTCCGAATGTGTATTGATTACCGTAAACTGAATGCTGTAACCAGACGGGACGCTTTTCCGATTCCCCGTATCGATGCAACCCTTGACGCACTTGCTGGCTCACAGTGGTTCTCCACGTTAGATCTGGCGTCAGGCTACTGGCAGGTAGAGGTGCACCCTGACGATTGCCCGAAGACAGCCTTTATCCTCCCGAGCGGTCTCTACGAATTCCGAACAATGCCCTTCGGACTATGCAATGCCCCGGCCACCTTTCAACGCTTGATGCAAATAGTCCTTGACAGGTTAGTCCCGCAAAAATGTCTCATCTATCTTGACGACATTATTGTACATGGGAAGTCCCCAGAGGAGCACATGGATAACCTACGGGTTGTTCTTACAAGGTTTAGAACGAATGGGTTAAAGTTGAAGCCGGCTAAATGTTCATTCTTACAGAGGGCAGTCACATTTTTGGGGCATCGAATTTCACCAGATGGTATTCAAACAGATCCAGAGAAAACGCGCCTCATCTCAGAATGGCCTACACCCCAGTCGTGTAAAGACGTTCGTAGCTTCCTAGGGTTGGCTTCGTACTACCGACGTTTCGTGCCTGGGTTTGCCACCCTAGCCTCGCCCCTGCATCGCCTGACAGAAAAGGGCCGTAAATTCCTGTGGACCAATGAATGCCAACATGCGTTCGACAAGCTAAAGACGAACTTGACATCAACCCCCATCCTTGCGTTCCCAGACACGTCTCCGTCATCTGGTTCATTTATTCTGGACACAGACGCAAGCGCTAACGCTATAGGGGCTGTCCTTTCCCAAGTGGCAACCGATGGTCGAGAACGCGTTATTGCATATGCCAGTCGCAAGCTAGACAAAAGGGAAACACGGTACTCGACAACCCGAAGGGAGATGCTTGCCCTTGTGTATTTCCTGAGACACTTTAGACACTATCTACTTGGGCGCCCCTTTCGAGTACGCACTGACCATCGTGCACTACAATGGCTGCAAACATTTCATGAACCTGAAGGTCAGGTGGCTCGATGGCAAGAGCGGTTACAGGAGTTCGAGTTTACTTGTGAGTATCGTCCGGGGCCTCGGCATGCTAACGCTGATGCCCTCTCCCGATTGCCGAGGTACGACTCAGTGAATGCTCTACTTAATACGGGTATCGATGTAGATTGGGCTGCACTGCAGGCGGCTGATGCAGATATTCAACCTGTTTACTCGCGACAGCTCCATGGGAACGATAAACCATCGAATAAGGAACTACGGAGTCTGTCAGATACAACACGATGCATCTGTGGCAAGTGGGGCGTGTTACGACTAATCGACGATGTTTTGTATATAGTGGAACCATCCTCGTCACCCCGTCTCCTTGTTCCCCGGTTGAAAGTTCAGGAGGTGATTCACCTTGTGCACTACCAGCTGGGTCACGCTGGCCAACAAAAAACCGAACACGCCGTCCGTCAACGTTTTTGGTGGCCACTTCTTCATCACGACGTTACTGAATTCTGCCGCAACTGTACTACATGTGCGCAAATCAAACAGCCCAAACTACCTTCCCGAGCACCGTTAGTACCTATGCTTACGGAATCTTTCAACCACCGAGTTGGGGTAGATGTCATGGGGCCAATAACAACGTCGAGACGTGGTAATCGATACATACTCGTCATGGTCGACTACTTCACGAAGTGGTGCGAAGCTGTCCCCCTGCAACAACAAGATGCCTTGACGATTGGTCGCGCGTTCATAGACAACTGGGTGTCCCGCTTTGGTGCCCCTCTTTATCTACACTCTGACCAGGGCGCCGCATTCGAGGGTCATCTTATCGCTCACATCTGCAATACTTTTGGCATCCGGAAGACTCGTACTACATCATACCACCCACAGGGTAATGGACTCGTCGAACGCACCAACCGAACTATTAAGAATCTTCTCCGTGCCTTTTTGCACAATACACCGGAGAACACCTGGGACGATGTCCTACCTCAGTGTCTACTAGCGTATCGCTCCTCCATCCATTCATCCACGGGATTTTCCCCAGCTTTGCTTCTGTTTGGACATGAACTCCGTCTCCCAGTTGAGATTCAAACGCCGCTGCTACCGTATGAGAAAATCGACTGCATCCCCTATGTTCGACATCTTCGCCACCACCTGGGGATAGCCTACAACCTGGCACGTCGTCATCTCCAGTCTTCGTCAGAACATCAGAAGAGTATTTATGACCGCTTCGCCCGCGGCCCCACCTATTCGCCTGGTGACTATGTCTGGCTTCATCGCCCATCGGTACCTGCCGGTTCGTGTCCTAAATTCTACGCCCCGTGGCAAGGACCTTATGAGATCGTACAGCACCGACCTCCCACAACGTTTGTCCTGCGGAATTTGCAACGTCCTCAAGATAACCTTATATCCGCACACTATAACCAGCTGAAACCACATCACCCAGCAGCCGCCCAGAAGCCGTCGCCATCCCCGCAACCACCGCCCGCTACTAGCTTCGTCGAGGTACCAACAGATGGAGGCAGTGCATATCCTATACCACCGCCAGGCACTGAGGACAGTGCCTCCAGAAGGGGGGAGGCGATGTAATAAAATAAAAACCACCATAACGCCACTAAATAAGTTTCTTTTCTTCCTTTTTCAGAAAGAAACGCTGACGTGGCTTCACTGGAACAGGAGGAAGATCGTTTGGCCAGACTTGTTATAAAGGACGATAATTAGCTTGTACCCGCTGAATTCAATCCTGCCGTGGTTGAAATAAAGATCTTCCTCTCGTCTCTTCGTCTTCTTCCTTTTCCGTTGGTTGTGGTTGTTGCTTGCGTGTAACAACATCATGTGCGTTACTTTCTTTCTTCGTAGAATGTGAGGTCATGAGTTGTCTAATAAATTAGAAGTCTGTTACAACTGGGCTCACCTGTTTTCTTATTCTGTCATTAAGTGGTAGACGCTCGATCTAATAAATATATCAGTGACTGTGAAACTATTAATTTCCTCTAGTGGATAAGCAATTTATTAAAAAAAGAAGACAGTACGAGCTAATCATTATAAAGAATTCCTTTCATTGTTTAAAGGAAGATTTTAATCAGGAGGTAAAATAACATCACCATATAACACTGTAAATATGATACGGCATCATTTTTCTGTGTGAATGTGGTAACATGTGATATGATTTTATTTTGCAATTTTTTTTTGATTACAGGTTGATTCACCACCGTATTTTTGGTACAGTTATGGAATTTTCAACATGTGATATCGGTAGCCCAAATTTTGCAGGCCGACCATAGATATGGGGTGTGCGTCGGCAGAGGATCGAACCCCGGACCATGTGCATGGTCGGCGAGAGTCCTAACCACTGTTCCACCGACGCACACAAGATTTATTAGTTGAGGATTGAAGCCTATTTTAATCCTTTTGTAGTAAATTTATTTGCTCGCTCAAACTTTCCATGAATGAATCAGTTAAGGTTGCATACACCACTTCTGCTGGGAGTCGGTCCCAGAATTTTATCACTCAGTGTGAGAACCAGTACTCCACAGCAATATGGTTTCTCCTTGTCTTTCGAACTCTCCTTGTATGTCCTTTTAAAGTGTTCCGACCAAGTATTCGCAACAAGCGGACCTGTGAACCCACAGTTTTCTTATCCACACCTTTACGAAGGTGGGAGTCTGACAGCCCGTTGGTGCCCGTGCTTTCGTGTGCCCTCAGATTCAGATTATAAGGATAGAAGGCTCTTGTTGCCTATGTTAATCCTAGCGATATATATCTCTGCAGAGATCCAGTTTCTCTTTGAAAGCGTGCACCGATGGAGCTGTCACTACTGAATCAGTTAAGCAGTTCCAGTCGTTGACCCCTTTGTGATAGACTCTAAACTCCAAACGTATTCTATTCGACCTCGGTTTGAGCACCTTCTTGTGGTGACCTCGTAAATGTATCCTAGAGGGAGGGAAAAGGTTTGAAAGGTCAATCCCTAAATCACCCTTGAATATAAAAAAAATTAGGTCGCCTCTCCTCCTTCGGAATGATAGTGGGAAGAGATTTAAATGCTCCATCCTCATGTCATGAGGAAGGTGTGAGGTACCACTAACTAATTTCGTTCCTACCCTCTGTACTCTTTCCAGGGTATGTGACTCCTTTTTGAAGCATGGACTCGCCACTTGTATGCAGTACTCTAGATGAGGCCTGACATATGTTGCATAGAGTACTTGGAACATACCCTCGTGTAATCGTTTGAAAGCCCTTCGAAGTGCCCATAGCATTCGAAGGGCCTTAGCTGCGGCTTGATTACAATTTGCCGTTGTTTTTAAGTCATGGCTAACAATAATTCCTAAGTCCTTTTCTCCCCTAACATCTGGCAGTTCTGTGTCTCCCATGGAGTGCGACACGTAAAACTTCTGACCTAGGTGCATTACCGCCCTTTTCTTGGAATTAATTCCCAGACTCCAAAGGTTAGCTCATTCAGCTAATTTATCTAGATCCTTTTGTAGAACCAACCTATCATCGTTACTATTTATAGTTTTCCATATCTTAATATCGTCCGCAAATAGTAAGGAAGATGAGGTAAGAATTTTCGACACTTCATTTACGCATAATAGGAATAGCAGGGGGCCAACTACAGTTCTCTGAGGCACTCCACTTAGTACTGCTTTCCACCCTTACCTTCTGCCTCCTATCCATCGGGTAGTCACTAAACCACTCATATAAGCGTTGGTCTGATCCAAAAGGTTTAAGTTTACTAAGAAGACCTAAATGGGATACCTTATTGAATGCTTTACTAAGATCGGTAAATACGACGTCCAGTAGATGGTTTTCATTTCTGGCCTCAACCCACTCTTCCCTAGCTAATAGTGAGTTTGTCCGGCAGGATCGTCCTGGTCGGAATCCATGCTGTTCCACTGCCAGTAAGCCATGTTTTTCCATATAAGCTAAGGGCTGATTCCTAATGAGTTTTTCTAACACCTGCTATAATGCAGGTCAGACTTACTAACTGCCTGTTCCCCTCTTTGAAGATAGGGCTTAAGAAAGCATCTTTCCAGTCCCTGGGTAGCCTAGCCTGGGTCAGAGACATCTGAAAAATCTCCGTAAGTGGAATGTATATTATATCTGCCGAGGAGGTTAGCAATCTAGAGTGTAGTCTGTCTGGTCCAGGTGATTTACCTGGCTTCATTTTAGACAATAGTTTAAGAACCATTGCGTCCTCTACCACAGGTAGGGGTATTGTAATGACTACAGCAGTGAACTCGCTATACCCCTGAGTGGTACGATTAGACGAAAACATATCGCAAAAGTATTCGGAGAGCTTTTCAGCTTTTGTTTCGTCTGACTCGGCCGCCTCTCCAATATTACTTTTGGGTGAAGGAATATCACTGCTAGTTTTAGTCCTGCGTTTGACATACAAGTACAGTCTTTTTGGATGATGCATGCAATCCAGTACTAACTGTCTCATACTCTATACGACTTTGTTAATCATATACTTAAAAATATTTCAGATTCTGCAGTATTCCATCCGAAACTGATCCCTACCAGCCACAGTAAACTGGTCCCATAGGTTCTTTCGTTATCTTAGTGACCGCCTTATTTCATTACTAATCCAAGGTGGTTTATGAGATAGTTTCCGAGGCGTAAACCAAGGTACAAAGGATGCATTGACACAATCTAGTGTCTTCCTAAATCCCTTTCAAGCCTCCTCGACAGTCTGGTGTGAATTAACAGACCAGTCAGCTAGGGTTGTTGCATTTCGGATCGCAGATATATTCGCTTTCCAAACGTTTGGGCGAGCGGCTGTTGACCTATGTATGACGGCCTGGATCCTGAACATAAAAGTAATAACTATGTGGTCACTACTGCCTAGCGGCGCCAGGCACCTAATGTCACCGACATCCTCCTTCTGGTGTGTTAGCACCAAGTCTAGAGTGGACGGATCATATTCAGAGTGGTATCGTGTTGGTACACCTATATGCTGCACAAGTGTGCATTCAAGTACTGCCAGTATGAGTTCCCTGTTGAAAAGAGTGTACAAGGTAGTTGATGTTAATTCCTCCCAATCATTGTGGGGCATTAAAGTCACCTACTATTAGACACTTATTCCTACTACTCTACGTCCTGGGGTGATTTAAAACGAAATCGTCAGCTTGGCTGGTAGGACTTCTATAAATAACCTCAATCATCACAGTGCCTTTGTTCAAGTTAATGACACAACTTACGGCTTCACAGGTGCCGCTGTCATGAGCTTCCGACAACGTCGACCTAATTCCTATGTCATCCCGCATGTATAGGGCGACCCCCACCTTTGCTACTACTTACTCTGTCTGCTCTAATGCAGATGTACCCAGGTATGAGTGGAGTTAAGTCTACACCCACTTACAGCCATGTTTTGGTGATAGCAATCACATCAGGCTGTAGTTCCTCAGACAACACTCCTAGTTCAGGAAGCTTATTCCTAAGACTACAAGCGTTCGTGTAGCATACTGAGAGACCTACGTGTTCACTCGAGTTATGAATAGAGGTCTGGGCAACATGGGTTACCGAGACCTCACTACCCGAAAACCCAACAGTTTGAGGTCTTTTTCACCTTTTTCTAATCGGGTCTTTAATTCAGCCACGGCTGCTCTTCTCCTAATTCCATCTTCCAGAGGTCAGTCTGGCCTAATTCTCATGTTTTTGTCCTTGATCTTGAATGCGTTGTTGATAATAATTGTTTAGATTAGTTATCAGAAGACAGAACAAGACTTAATACCATTACTTTTGCTCTCCTCAAGTTGGATACTTTGACTTTCACCATATTAGATTAAGGGAAACTCGTGGACGCTCAAGGATTCCAGTTACTACGTAAAGAAATAGGGAATAGCCTGCTAAACTGTTCCGTGCTTATTTCCAGAACCAGGTAGCTAAACATAAGTCAATGTGAATTACATTGGAGGCCAGTCACCATCTCTAACATCTGCGGTGAAGTTAAACTGTCATAGCGAAAATCAGGGTCTGCCAAAAGCTGACCCAATCGGATATAGGGAGCACAACGAAGGTCATTCCAAGTCAAATCATGCCTGCCAATTTTGGGTTTGGCGAGGGTAGATACAGCATTCCACTTATTCCCTAGGTACTTTTTCTGTAAATCTATACTTTTAGGTAGGGTTATTTTTCATAAGTTTAAGGCTAGGATTACTGACATTTCTCAGTAAGACGAGTGAAGAAGCAGAAGCATATGTATATCTTGAATGCAGAATAAGAGAAAATAATAACAATTCAACTGCGCTAGGAAAACGAAAGGAAATTGAAAACATAAAGTCGTAACATATTCAAGATTTAGGGGACGATAAACTGTGAATCAGCATTTACCAGTCTCATTAATGTTAATGCATGTCTTCTGAAAGTTCGTATAACAAATTTTATTGTATACGTAATAACTGTGAAACGTGTAGTTAAAGAGCTGAAATTAATGTTTGGAGGTCCCATACATGTGAAGTTTCTGTGGACTAGTTGTCGTAAGTCTAAACATGAGTATATGGTTTTTTCTTTATAGTTTTTACTTCTGCTTATGTCTTGATCTGATTATTCCGGGCTTTGTTTCGTTCTGCTGCGGTGCAGAATATCGAGGCTAAATGTCGGGTAGATTTTTATCACCATCGGATTTGGTTGGGATGTAGCACGTCAGATGAAAAGCATGGCGTACGTAAGACTTTTGCATCAGTCTCTTTGAGAATTGCAAATGTTTCTATGCTTATAAGCTATTTTGTCACGTGGTTGTTGCATTTTTGTAACTTCGATTTGTGAATAAATACACTTTTTTCATCTTTAACGACCACTATTATGAAAATAATGTCAATAATTATCTCTTTTTGCAGTTTTCCAGTACACTATTGGGTCCACTGAAAAGTGTCAAACTGAATCCAATAAATGGCTACCAGAAGAGAAATCCTGAGTCTTTATAAAAACCTTCTATCTTATGTAAATAGTTTGGAGCATTCTGATAAAAGCTACCTGAGAAGAAGAGTCCAGTCCACATTTAGAGATTATAAAATGTCTAGTGATGAAGAAGCAGCTAAGTTGTATAAGGTATAAGTTGTAGTGTTAATTAATATTTCTTTTAGAAGGGTTGTGAAGTTTTACGTCTTAAAAGATTCATTTGATCAGCATATATTAATATTTTCTCTTGTACATATCCTGTCGTGTGTATTTACTCTTTTCGTGGTGTAATTTATATCCTCAAATAAAAGTGTTCAGTGTTCATAGGATCACAAGATTTTCTTCAATCACTTGTTAAATGTATATACCTTTTTAACGTTGAAGTCTTTTTGTTCTTTGGGAAAGTGTTACTCTTAATTTATTTTCTCTTCCTAGAAATGTCACTGTGTAACGCGTAAGGAATTGAAGTTAACAACTTTTAATCCTTTCCTATGTATTATCACTAATATTTAAATGCTATCGCGAAAGTTAATGAAGGTTCCACTGATGACTGTTTTATTACTTTGTGTAATCAGTTCTCACGAAGTTGACTGTGTATTACTAAGTATGCAAAGTGAGAGTTTTAATAAAAGGTGATTGTGGAGTGAAATCAAGTGTCTGGCTTTGTGGAGATTCAACTGGCTTGAAGGAAGGTTCGATCCATCTATCATCGTCATTCACTTAAATGTAAATATGCTTGCTCCCCACCATCTAACTTGAATATTTAAGTGTTTGTAGTTCATATGAGCAAATGCATAAGTGGTAAAGTATTGTAACAATGTGACAGATATTTTTCATTGTTAGACTTTGGCTTGTCCTCAGACTTGAAAGACAAGACTAGCTGGTAATTCACATACGAGTAAATACAGTAGAAATAAGAAACGAAATAATTGGGCAATGAAATGGTACCATCATTTATTTCGTTGGCTTGTCATCATCTGCTTACATGCCAAAGTTATTATTAAGTATTTCTACAGAAACAATTTAAACGTAGTTGCAGAGTTCATTTTTGAACAAAAATCACTCAGACATCTACAAAAAAACAAAATAATTGCTCGAGGAATATCCTTTCCGATAATTTCCTCTTCTGGCTCCACAAATATATATATATATATATGTTTACGTACATAGTATATTCTAGAATAGTAGTCAATAACAATCTTATTGTTTTTAAAAAATATCGATTTGTTAAGTAAGATCAATGGAATTACAGTTCATTAAAGATGCATAAATTATAATAATAAAAGTAGGATATCAACTGAAATTAAAGAAATTTCTACAAAAAATTCATGATCACTCGAACCTAGATGGCCAAGGTAAGGACAATGTCTGAACTAGCTTCTTTTCGACACACGAATTAGACTTCTTCGTGTGGATCCCAACGGCCTCAGCCATATTCAGTAAATGAACTCTTAAAGCGAAGTTAAGATTTGTCGGTATGCTCTAAATGACTTAGAAAGGCCCGTTGACATCAATTTTGTGTTCTATATTCACAAGATGGGATGGAATAGCGCTACGAATAGATTTTGTTTATCCTTTACTTAACCACGCAGGGTTATCTTCGGAAATCCGGCAAGAAATATTCCGATTTTCGAACAATTGTAGTCATGTACCGTTTGCAAGATTTTTAAACGGCAGAAAGGATTTATATTTCGGGTGGATGTTGTCCTCTCTGAGGTGTGTGGTTTAACTGTGAAGCTTTCATTCTCCCTGGCATAAAATGAAGTGAATTTGTTGGCTTTTGGGGACTTCAGTCTGTACTGTCTAGATCATAGTGTCCAACAGTAAAACAAAACAAGAATGACGTCATCTTGAAGATTAACTATGATAGCCAAAGCGGAGATCCTCTTCTCATCGAAGAAAATAAGCTGGCTATCAAGGGACATGTTAATATGTATTCCCTCATATCAAAACATGTGAACAGCTACTCAACTGAAACACATGGTCCGGGGTTCGATACCCTGCCGACGCCTGCAAATTTGGGCTACCGATATCCATGCTGAAAATTCCATACTTGTACTGAAAATACGGTGTGGCATCAAGCTGTAATCAAAATAAATAAAATAAAAAACAAAAATAAACACAGGGGACACTAAGAATGCCGGAGAACTCCTAAAAGCCTGGTTCTCAGACTGGTTTGTATTTAATATTGATAATTCAAAAGCTTCACTTCACTGTGCAGGTAGAGCTGAAGACGTCCAGAAGGATAATAAAAGTTTCACAGCTCAGAGAAGACACAAACAGTAGGAATAGAATTCCTCCAAGTAGTATGCATCAAATCAAAGCATCTGAAAAGTCGATTATGTTGTCTTTCAAAAGTAACTAAAATAAAAATATGGCATCGTCTGAAAAGTGTTCATTTCGTAACAATTAGCTGGAAAGCTTGTGATTGAACTAGAAAACTCTAAAGATACCCAAGAAGTACGGTCTCTTTCAAAGGTTGAGTATATTGTGTGCAAGCGCACTCCGTAGGCATAAAGTATGAATGTTGGAAGCTCAAAATATGACGCTTTTCAATTATGAATATTCAAATTTTGTATCAACACATTTCAGATGTTTCTCATACATCTTGTTTCTTTTCTGTTGGGTAATTTTAATGGTGAATCAAATTAAGGTTCATTGGTTAGTAGGTGATGCATGAAGAATAGATGATACCAAAATTCTTATCGTAGAAACCATAAAGTAGCTGAATATTTCCTGGGATAGAATTGATTTGTTAGTAGTTTAACATCATGACGAAATAAGTAGGTAAATGAAATTGGTGAAAATGATACTAGGGACAGCTTGAACAAATGGTATTCAATAAAAACCTCTTAGTTGAAAGACAGTTCTAAATCGGTTCTTGAATCAAACAAACCATAAAGTCAAGTGTGTTTTTTTCAAATGAAAAAATAAAATCTACATCTTCCTTTAGTGGTGTATCTCTTGAAATGAAAATGTGACATATATGACTGGATTTGCTACCTGCAGAAAGACATTTCGATTTGGGAAAAGCGATTTCTAGTGCAAGACTATGCAAACTTCGAACTACTCGTATGATGTCTCATAGTTGTAGAGGCTAATCACACTAGATATGCATTAGAGAAAGCTGATAATCAAGTCCCAGTAGCTGAATAGTCTTGCCTGGCACTAGTTAGCTCCTGAGTTCGAGTCCTAGTGGGTGTTTACTGATGAGGAGTCGCAAACTGGGACGGGACTGTCTAGTACTCCCTGGTCTTCTGATGGTTCTCTAACTGGTGCCATTTCGTGATCAAACCTGCAACCAGTCAAATCCCTTCAAACCAAAACTTGAAAATCTTAAGAATTCAATTAAATGTCTAGTTAAAAGTATTACTACACAGTGTTTTTCTGCAGAAGTAATGCTTTAATTTTCAATGAAAGACTATGTTATATATAAACGAACGTGAATCAGATTAGGTTTCTTAGGTGCTTGCTTAGTATCTCAGTGTTATTCCAGTGGATATTACAAGCATGATGTGTCTTATTCCCCATTCTCCTTGAGACATTGAATATCAAGTATTGGTTTTGAAGGGATTTTGTTTGATTGGTTAATTGACTGGAGGATTTCATCGAATATCAGTTTGCGAAATGAATAATCGTTGAAGTAGCTTCGTTCTCAAATGACTTATTTCCTGTTACCTAGTTGACGAAGTGTTGTGAGTTGTTATAATCAAGAGGGTATACATATCGCTCATAAATTGTGCAGTTAGTCATTATAATAATATTTTTTTATTGATTACAACTATGAAAAAGTGGAGTGGTTAGTGATAACAAGAATACAACACATTTTAAAATAGTATCCTTCTTCTAATAGCACTATCCATAACAAGAATAATGAAAAACAGTGCGATTAAACAAATAAACGTTGAGATAGGCGCTAAGAAAAACAAGATTGTCCGATTTAGTAGTGCTAGAGAAGTAAATGAACTACATTTCAATGGCGTAATAAGACTAAGAGTGGAAGGGAAGGGGATTAAAATCATAAATAAGCGGCGGTGACGTCATCAGTTGGTTAGTTTGGATGCCTATCACCTTAGCTTTGTGCAGTAGAAGAATACGAAGTCTGTTGAAAAGATTCGGAAGGATGCGGTGAATCATCTTGAATGCTTTCGCTTTCTCCATTAAATGTGTCAAAACGGAGTTATCGACGGTGTTTTGTCTATCCTCCATCAAACCACGATGGGAGATGTTCAGTGACACGGCTAAGCTGTCTAGCAACACATAATTGTCTCAGGAGGAGCATTTGAATTGATGAATACACGTAGATGTCGGAAAACCGTCTGTCTTATCCTTCGTTTGAGTCCCAGTCATTTATCAACTAGAAAATGACAAGTATAGGCTTACTGCGTAAAATGTCCTCAGTGTATGTCTAGTCAGTCAACAAAATCTCACTTGACAAGTACTCACTAAATTGTGACTTAAAAATGACGGTTTCTTCCCTGCTATCGTCGTTTTAGGTTTTCTATGTAATGCCTTCATATGTTTCTTTGTGAAACTACTCAGATAACCCATCCGCGTCAAAGAATCATGAATATATTCAAATTCCTTTTGTAAGTAATCTTCCGTAGCCACCTTTCTTGTTGTAATAGTTAGACACTTAACAATATTTCTGTAAGGAAGTGCTTGTGTTACCCTTTAAATGTGCTTTTGAAATACATGCTTCTCCCAAGTGACTCACATACTTAGGAAGACATGCAGAAAGTGCAGTATATTATCTTGCTCCTCTTCACAAGTGAAAGTCAGCGAACGGTGTATGTTGTTAAATTTCATCGACAATTCATTTGTGTTTACATTCTCATTAACTGAGGTAAATGTATCAGCGACATAACGATAATACATATCTAACTCATTGATGGCATCTCTCCATCTTCGATTTTCAAGTTCTGCAAGGAAGAAGTCTGCTAAGATCGGGCCTAATGATGAACCCATTTTTTGTCTGTAATGTGAATGACTGAAGACTGAGTGTGCATTCATTGGACACTTAAGG